GATTTGTGCCCAACTGTTGACGGACGGACGATCATGCGATTCTACAAGCTGCATCTGACTATGTCAGATGAGCTAAATATATTGATATAAACAAATACACACACGCACACAGACACAAACATACACGTGTATATTTGTATATATCTAATTTCCCTATTCCAAACCTTTACTCTATAAACTCACTCTAACCATAGCCTTAGCTAACACGAATACATATGAAACAAATGCGAAACAGTATGACGACAGTAAATATACTCAAACACATTTAATGTATCATGTATCTAGTTTGAACTTCACATACCCGGAAAGAAATTAATAAGATCCTCTACAGTCTTCTGTTTAGTTGCCAACAGCTGTTCTTCTGTTTTTATTGGCCGCTGTCCATTAGATAGTTTACCACCTGGCCAGATTGCATCAAGTAACAGGTGAATAGTGTATGCACAGCGCTCCTTCGAAGTTAGGATCCCTATCTCTAAGTGCAGCCACCTGGCGAAAGAAAAATCAACATTTTCAGGCGTCACCTCTCTCACTCTTTTGCTCCCTCTGCTCACTCTTTACCTCTCACTCCCTCTGTCTGATACTTATGCCCATGTATGCATGGATGCACAAACGTACACACGCACGCTTGCAAGCAAACACACTATCACACACAATGTGTGCGAACACACACACGTACACTTGTCTGTTTCCCTTGAAATCCATGTGCATAAAAGTTACTAGACTTATTTTATGAGACCAGAGATCACAGAGATCCCACCCCCGCCGTCCAGTACCTCTCCAGTAGTCGGCCAAAGCAGCGATACAACAAGCGAACGACTCCTGTCTGACACAGCCAGTGATTGTAGCGTGCGAGGGCTAGTGCTCCCAAGTCTAGAAACGATGAGATCAGTGGTATCTCATCATCCAACGCTGGCCCTGGAATGCAGTAAGGGAAAAAGGAGGGCAATTACAGCAGATGAAGAAGGACACTCAACTGCACTGGCTATCGGTGCCGTGGTGAAATACGAGCCATCCACACACCCTCATGTGCCCACTGTTATGCTGCAGACACCTGATAAATATTCACCTTTGACGGCATATCGTTGTCGGTGTTCGTTCATGTCAAGAGTCGCAACTGTGAAGTTCTCATCATCGGAACATGACCGAATGTTAGCGCACAGGAAATCTATCATGCTGCCGCGTAGCTTGTACTGCATCACCTTCCATCAATACAGCACCAGATTAGGCTCTTACATGGCAACTAACATCTACTTTATACGTATACTACGAATAAAAAGTCAGTTATAATTGATAAAAACTACATATAGTGTATTCTGTTGTAATTTGTGAAATAAAGATCCTGAGAGAGAAAATGTCATAGTGCTGTTTCGCAGACCGTAAATACACATACTACTACAGTATACACTATGTACACTAGTGACTGAAAACAGCATATGAGCTGCGCACACTGACATTCTTCATGCAAACATTCAGGAGCGATAGTATAATGTGACAAGCTGCTCACATCCTTGCTGCTGTTGCCGTCTGTGGTTTCCGTGGCGACGTGGTACTGCAGCTTGAGAGTATGAGGATCGTACTGAGATGCGGCACTCGTCTTGTCACTGCGACCAACCTGCGTGGTGGCGCCACTGTCCTGACCGGGGAGATCCGGCAGTGCTTCTCTCAGAACGTCTATCATATCTGTCATTGTACGCACCAGCATCTGCAAAAGCCACCACTCTGTTGGATAAACGCACAGACACTGGGACAGTGTAGCCTCTAGTGTACATGTGAAATAAGGGGGCACTTTCCCCATCTAGATTGTAATGTAAATTTAGAAAGAAATCTTAGTAACTGTAAAACAATCTGAATGAAAAGTAAATCTTCATATAGTCATCTGTGAAACTAACCCATCCTACCTGAGCATATACTGAGACACATCGTTAACATAGGTGACACTTATCTTGTCAATCCTGGTCATATACTGTCAGAGACACATCGTTAACATAGGTGACACTTACCTTGTCAATCCTGGTCATATACTGAAACACATCTTAACGAAGGTGACACTTACTTTGTCAATCCTGGGCACATATTCGGGGACGTCGTTGACGTAGGCTAGGCTTGCGTCCGTGCCGCATGCCAGGAACTCTCTCAGCTCAGAGCTTATACAGATGACTGGCCTCACACACAGCTCCTGTTAACACACGGCAGTCACACGCACCAGGCAATAGCTGATGGTCCCTTCCCAGTGTCATATGCAACATACGTGCACCACGTAGTAACACAAGTACGTGTAGTAAGAGTTGCGCACAGTGAGCGAGAAACGTGGGACTTGGAGCAAGATATGGGAGGAGAAACTACAATAGGGGCAGCGTAGATTATCGTTGGTTTTCTTTCACTAATGTTTAATCGATTTTTCCCCCTGACTATTTTACCATTTATTAAATGTATATTTGCTTTTATCCATTAAATACGGCTTTGGTGGTACTAATACTAAGTCAATACCTTTAGATATTCTTCCAGGTAGTATCTCCGTAGTTCGACCGACTCCCAGCCTAGATTTGAGAACGGTATATTCACCCATCTTTTAGGTCCACGAAGTCCTGCCACCAATAGAACATGCAGAGCGAATAAAATCGGTTGTAATCATGTTGTAATTTTAAAATAATTACAATACAATAATATAATAATAAATTTAAATGAATAATTGGCAATGAATAAACGGTTTTCATCATTGCTAATTACGTCGTTTAAAAGTTGCATCTAACGGCATAAATTTTGAAGGTAAATTTAACACACACGAAGTACGAAGTGAGTTATTGAAAAGCTCTGCGACGAGGGTCGATACCTTTCACGTATTTCCGATACTCGGGATGCTTGTCGAGTCTCGACTGCAGATTTACAAACTCTCGGAATCTCCGTCGCACAGCGGCCCTGTAGCACACTTCACTACCCCCAACAGCTGTAGGACTAGGTATGCACAAGTCATACTGAAAGTAAAGTAAGCTGTCTGTACACTTAAGCAACCGTCAAGCTACCAACCACTGCCAAACATTGGCGAGTATTTGCAGAGTAATTTCAGGGTGCCCATCTCCACCTATATATACTACAGTACTGAAACATGGTTCGTTCTCAATTTCAGGTACACACGTGCCACCTGGTGTGAACAATATGAAGCTCTTATGCACATCCAAATGCTATCAATGTTTCTTATGTCTAGTAAATCTGTCTGAAATTTTTAACATTCTACGGAGATGACAAACTCTTTAAGAGCAGAGTGGATTCTAGAAGATTTTCAAAAGCATCAACCAAAATGCAATGAAAACAATGTGGCATTTAGGCCCTCTCAGGAAATCTCAGTTTGTCCCAGAACCCTGCCCACTAATGATTAACAGGGCCTGCACATGCCGTTTTAATGACCAGCCCATGTTGCTATATACAGCAATGCTTTGCCCACACGACTCAATGGTGTGTGCATGGTTTTTGGAACTCAGCACCAGTATAATTATGTGAGATCCAGTTCCTTTCACCCATGCCAATCATGTTCCATTAACTATACATATACATGCATAATTGCACATCATTACTAAATTCGACCCGCGACACGACCACGCACGCCGCACAACCGACGGCCCGTGTGGGGTTAGTCGTAGGAGCCGCTCAGCCATCCTCTCCTCACCTTGATGCAGTAGACAACGTACGGCTTCTGCAGCTGGTACGATACGGCTTCCCCCACCGTCTCCGTCTCGTCGATTCTCACGTTCTTGAACCAGTAGTCTTCCCCTGGCGAAATGCAAGAAACCGGCCTACCCGCAGCGTCGCGCCGCGGTGGCGCCCCCGCTGTCACCGCAGACATCAGCGTGTCCATCGTGGGAAAGCTCATGCTGCGACGTGCCGCGACAAACGGTGCCTCGTCGTCGTTGTTGCCTGTGACGTTGTCACGGCGACCGTAGTCGCTGCCGGCGACGGTCGACTCCTTCGACGTGCCTCGATCGGAACACTGCATGAATGCACCATGCTGCTGGTCGGGCGACAGAGATGAGAGATGCGGGGGTGACGTCGACACGGCTTGCTCGCCTGCTCTACTAATCGCTCCCCCCGCAGCGGCGAGCACCGAAGCCGTGGACCTATGCCTCTCCCGTGCCGCCGCATCGCTCAGTCGCTGTGGCGACAGACTCCTACTCAACCCTGCAACGCCGGGCCTCCCATCGTGCCGTCCGCCAGGGGGCGCCGGAATCACTTTCACTTCGGCGGATGAGAAGAGCATCGCTGCGATGTCCAATCCCGTCTCGACTGAATCTCGGTCGCGCGGCGTCGGTGGCGCCACCACCTTTCGGTTCGCAGCGGCGGCGGGATGTCCGTGACCTTGCGATGGTAGTGCATGGCTCTTCACACGGCTGCTCATCTTGACAGTATGTATATGGAAGCCGGCCGGGTGTGGAGCGAGATAGGCTGCGGCACGCACTGGGTGGTCTGCCGTTGCCCCACGCCGCCTTCCGCCCTCAGACGCATTGCCGCCGGGTGGGTCGACGATGCCGCGGCTGCTAGATGGCGCCACGCCCCGAGACAAGTTTCCGCTTTCGCCGTACCGCTCTGTTGCACTGTTGCCGTTGTCGGGAGCGAGGTGCGATGGTTGTGACAAAATTACGTCGGTGTCGCCGGTTGCTCTGGCAACACCGCCGCCGCCGCCGCCGCCGCCGCCGCCGCCGCCGCCGTCATCACCAACGACGTAGGAGCAGGGGGCGCCATCGCTCTTCTCCACCTCGCGAGCCTCGACCCCCGTCACCACATCGTTGTCTTGTAATGTTTGTATTTGTGCGTTCCTCGTACACGTCAGTAAACGTTCTTCTGTTCCCGCAACGCCCTCCCCGGCGCCCCCTGGCGAGCTGCGACGCGACATAAACGCGGGAACATCCGACGGCTCTCGCGCGTCGCTTTCCGTGATCGTGGGAGGGTCACGCCCGCACGGGGCATGGGGCGGTGCTGCCTCCTCACCGGCCTCCTCCTCGGTGTCGGAGACTATGAGGCTGATCGCCTCGCAGAGAAAGTCGGGATCCTCAAGAAGGTCAACGACTGCGCGAAGCACGTTCGTCGCGAGCAGCTCTCGCGCGAACACGGTGCTGACCTCTACATCGAGGCACGGACGTCCCGGCGCGAGTTCGTCGAGCAAGCGACCCGCGACGCACCTCAGGTAGGCGTGCTCCGTGGCGTGGCTTCCACGCAGCGCCGGGTGGCAGGCCCACGTTCGCTTCACCTCGGCGACGACGGCCCGCGCGCGCACGCCGGGGTCAGTCTCGAGGGCGTGTCGGTCGCGCACGGTGCTATAGGCGGAGTAGAACCCGGCGAAGACGTAGGTGGCCTTTCGCGCGGCGTGCAGCGCGTCCACCGTGCGTGCGCGGACGCACAGGCCGCGCGCGAGGGAATGCAGCAGGTTCTCGCACGCTCCAGGAAACTCGTCATCGCCGCTCAACGCGCGAAACCACGCGAGCACGAAATCCCGCAGGACGTACCCGCAGCCCGCTCCGATCTCCTCCGCGAGTTCCCGGCTTTTCGGCTGAACGTTGCCGGGTTTTGTCTGCGACTTGACGTCAGCAAGACGTTCGATTAGTGGGAGACACCAGTCCGTTTTGTAGAGAGTTGAGCGTTTTGAATGACGTGTAAGTGTGTGAAACGTTGCATACAAGGTCACAGTAAAGGTCACGATTCCAAGCAGCATCGTCACAGCAACGCTCATCATGCTGCCTGTTCCCAATGATGATCGTTAAATCGACGTACTTTGCATCTGAAAAATAATAAACACACTACATCATATATCATTGCCAGCTCCAATATGCTGGACAAATTAATTCATGTTTTTCACGTGTGAATGCCAACTGTTAAATTTGCAGCACATTATTGCTAAAACGATCGCTTTTCGAATGTCTTTATTACACGGGCTGATTGGCTAGACCACATAGTGACATAAATGTGTCATTGCCATTAACTTGTCAATAAATCAACATGTTTCATGTGAGTTCAATGAGTTCAACATGTACCCTACTAGATACAATAATGTAACCCCAACACACACAACCCCTATCCTGTGTTTGGGTAGCATTATTGGATCTAGTACCCTACATACCCAACAATGCAACATATCCCCATACCCAACATACCCTAGTTCAACATTACCCATATTCTGATTATACCTTCTCACTACATGAAAGTTGAAACAGTCTAACGCCGTTAGCGAGTCAAGAGACAATGATATTGGGGCCCAAGGATAGAGAACATGGGTCCCAATAAAACCAATGTGCCTAACCCTAACCCTAACCCTAACCCTAACCTATTATATTGATATAATATTATATTTATATTGATGCAAATGACATTGGTTTTATTGGGACCCATGTTCTCTATCCTTGAACCGATATGTGGATAAATTTTGTGACCCCGCAAATCAAATGAAATGTGTTTCCGCATACAGGGACAGGGTACCCAAACTAGGCTTGGGAAATATGTTGTTACTCGTTGCGCGCATCAATTACGCACGTATACTACTTGTTACTTGGTATCCGCATGCAATTCCCTAAAGAAAGACTGATATTGTTTTTTCTCCTGAAGACGCCGAGGTTCCTGAAAATTTTCATGAAATTTCCGATTTCACTGTTGCTATTGCCTGCTGCCATCTATCGTCGATGTAGAGACATTGCCGAAATAAATATCCTTCTAGTCAAGGAGCTAAATAAAATATAACACTTATATTTATGTTATATTTAGCTCCTTGCTTCTAGAAAGTTCTATAAACATTCAGGCATTCCAATATTCATGCGATTTAATTTCATATTATTTCCTTCATATTATGCTCATGCACCCAATATGATAAACAAAAAACTAAATGTATTTACTACCATGGTTCGCTACTTTCTTTTGCCTATTATTGCCTATTATAATTATTGACAGTAAATGCCGTTCAAATACTCCTACATGATGCAACACACAAGTAAGAGGGGGTCCATGCCCCCTCCTTTGGCATCCGGAATACTCTCTAATTTTCAGTGGCATCTGGAGTACTCCATAATTTTGGGCTGGCATCTGGAATACTATTTAACCTGCAGCCAGCACCCGAATAATACATAAGCAAACAGTAACCAATACACAACATTTATTAACCTTTATTCATGCACACTATTTATTAGGTGAGCAATAAATACACCTTAATGTCATGCTTGTTAGAGGCAAATAATTGAAGAAAAGGTACAGACTTTATGCCTAGAAGTCGGCAAATCTGCTGTTGAATTTGATTTGCCTTCCTGTCCTACAAAAATGTACGTGATACATGTACTCAATATTTTATGCAGAGACTAGTTTTGTCGACTAATGTCACAGTACCCAAATTCGACAACCCCATTAAAAGACGCTATATCATCACCCAGTTTGCTTTGACATCGTTAGGATTATTATTGCATTCTAACACTAATGACCAGCAACACTAATTTTTGTTATCAATTTAATGTTCGTAATTTCACGAAAGATAAACTGAAACAATGATTATGTATTGTGTGTATCTGCCATATTTTTACCGACGGACTCAAGCGACAGTCACAAAACTGCAACTTCGCAAAAATATCAAACAGGCCGAGGGATATTGAAAAGATTTGCAAATTTAGTTCTGAACATTATTAAAAATTATGTACACCACAGAGCCTGGAGTGAGGGCGGCGACGGTAACAGCGGAAGTCGAGCGTAGACGCCAGAGCGAGATGGAGACGTCGGTGAGGAAGACGGGAGACGGCATCCCTGGCGCCGTCCCTATCGACGACAAGGGATTTGGCTACATGCCTGACTAGGGAGACGGCGGATCGCCATCGTTTAGTGCCGCGTGCACGCGCGTTGCTAGCGGGATTCTAGCTGCTGTCGGAGAGGCCGCCTGCAGGGGGCGGGGTATAAATACCGAGGAGCATGGTGCCGGTGAGTTCTGGGCCAAATATCGCGGGTGCGCTGACGTCGTCAGGTCAGAAAGCACAGAGCAGAGACAAGTAGTCTGGCCACCTGTGAAGCAGGCCTACAGGTAAGCGAACGGCACGTGCCCACACGGTCGCCTGGGCAACCGACAAGCGTGAGGATACGAAGTCCGCGCCGCGCGGGCGTCGCGACACAACCTAGAAGATCAGTGGAAAGGTTGTACACGAATTAGGCGAGATGGGGGCGCAGTGCTCCGCAGAGGCGAAGAAGACATCGCAACAGGAAGATGGCCTACGTGGCGAACAATCGGAATCTAGACTCGAGACCTCTGGGCGCGGGAAGCTCGACGCCAGCTGCCGCAGGTCAACAGCTGATGCTGGATGTCTCAACTGCGGATGGGGACCACGACTACCACCGCTATGACGCAGCGAGACAGAAACGGCAGAGGATTGACGGAAGCGACGGCCAGAGACGCTCAAGGCGCCTGCGAGAGCACGGCGAATGGAGGGTGCGAGTCGCCGCGACGTCCCTCTCCCAGGTCGGACGCCAGCGCCTGAGCTCGGGAAGGGCAACAGCCGTCGCTGAAAAGGTGGGCGACGTTTTATTGGCCGGTCGCGAACACCTCTGCCTCCCCTCGATCGCGGTCTAACGGCACCACACGCCAATGCCGAGAGATTCGCTGCAGGACGCCTGAACTGACACGCCGGCCGAGTTAACACTAGCGTGCATTGAGCGTGAAACAACGCTAGCAGCATGACACGGAATCAGCGCTAGAGGCGATGACGAAGATCCACAGCACCGAGGCGATGAAGTGAGAGCAACGCGAAGGTGACGGCACCCCGAAATCGACGATAGTGAGCGCCGACTCGGAGTCATCGATAGGGAGATAACCCGAGGTGCGATCGCTCGCAACCGCGGCGCGATACAGATCTTTCGCGCGCATATGTTAATTGTCCGAAGCAGAGAGACGCAATAATGTCGCCCGTGCGCCACGGCTAGGTATATGTAAATACTGCTAGCGCGGTGGGAGGTAACCATAGGGCTGATACCTCACGTTAACGCTTTCAGCGCGATGACGGTCAGAGCGATTCTGTAGCTCATCTTTGTGTGTTATTTGTGTATACGTGACTGTTGTACGTACGCGCTTGCCGTGTACAATGTTGTGTGCTTTGCGGTAACGCTTTGTATGTTTGCTTGAAGCAAAAGCACCCGCGAGATTCGCGTCCGGGCCCGTTCGTGATCGGCAAACTTCAGAAGACATCAGCGAGCCAAAGGGTTGTGGTAGAAAGTGGGAACTTTGTACATAGTAATTAAACTAAACGCGAGATGCCGGCGAACACTTTGCGTGCCGCGTGCGCGGTCATAACTTCGTGCACGAGCGCGAAAGTAGCTGCGGATGCGTGCGAGAGCGTAAAGCGCGATGTCACGAGCAGCAATTGCTAAACACGTATTATCCGTGTGTTAGGTAATAGTACGTAGAGAAGGCCTCGTTATTACTCTGATTAAGGCGGGAGGAGCCCGCGGGGATCGGATGGCGCTGAATCACGCAACAAGTATTGGTCAGGTAACTTTCGGGGGACCCGAAGAATTGGCGGGTAATATGCCCGACCCCAGGAGGCGGTGATGACGTAACCCAGTGGCAGAACAGAGAATAAATCGATGCAGTCAGCTGATTGCGGCGAGGCGAAAAGCAGGCAGGCTAATTGTGAATTGGTTGATTATGGAAATCTGCTGACGGGTAGAAGAGGTGTATAAACCCGAAGGCAGGGATGAGTGAGGCACTCTCACCGCATACACCGTTGGTGTGCTGCACGTGTTACGGAAGAGCCGTGTTATAGTTGAAGAGACAGTTGGAAAGATGGCTGAGGAGCAGATATGGCAGCGCAACGGAGAGGCGTGTTCGCACGAAACACCTCGAACAGGCAAAGACATAACGGCTAGCGGTTATGGAGGCTGAGGACGGCGAGGGAAGCTGGCAGAGTCGGCAAGTTGTGGCGGCCTCTCTGGAACGCAAGGGGTCCGAGATGGCCGACGGAGACGCTTACAAGCTGTACAACTGCAGCCAGCTTCGGGCGGCAACCGCAGGCTCGTGGAGCAACCCCACGGACTGTGGTGGCAGCCCCGACGTCGGTATGCTCGAAGTATTCCCGTCGACAAAGCCCCAACTGTGGAAGAAGGCGACACTGGAGTCGGCGGAGAAAAGAAGCGAACCCCAGCTGGGATCCCGCGGATGGGAGGGTACCCCACCCGCTCCTGAGTTGGGTTGCTGGCCTAT